TAGGCCATAAAGGACTACTAAAAAAAAACATTATTAAAACAATGTCACTCATTCCATGGTCATAATCGATCATTCAGATTTGTGTTTATATTAAAAGATATCCTAATTTAAACAAAAAGTAATATATTTTTTGTTTTATTTATTCATTTCCTATAAAATCGCGAAAATTACAAAAATTATCCAAAAATAATGAATGAAAAACGCAATGTCTGTCAACCATTATTTTTATAATAAAAGTGTTATTTCTTATGTCAGGCTTAATTAATGTAACAATGTTGCAAGAAAATAATTATTAGTATTTAGACACATCATTAAATTTTCAAAAGGTTGACATAATTATTAACAACTATAAAATATAATTATTCAATAGGTAATAACGGATTTAAGAATCTAGGCGAGTTTTTATAATAAAACACTTTCTGATCTTTTTCGACATGCATGTCATTGCGTGTACTTCATGTTACTTGCGAGGCGCCATTCTGCTAGAGGGTAATTTAGAGGTACGGCTAACAAGTCTAACAAGGCTTTGTTATACTTTAAAATAATTTCTATAACAAATATATTAAAGCAACAGTTTGTAAATGTAGAGCATTCTAAAAAATTGTTCCTTATTTGGCCCAAAGAAAAAATGTCACAACTTAGAACTATTAATCTTTTTTAAATGTCAGGTTGGATACCATTCTTAGATAAGTGTAGTTATCACAGGCATGACTCGACCTGTCGGTCATGGTCTACGTTAAAACCATTTGTTATTGATCATACGTTATTTAATTACAAAATATTATTAATTTTCATCTAATTCTTTTCTGGGAAAAATATTTATATAGTATTTTTTAATGTGATTCATTAAAATCTCCATATGACGTATTTATCATTTTGCCATTGAATAAAATCTGCTACTTTGCATGTGGATAAACTTGAAAGCAAAGTCTTTAAATGTAAAAATTTATATTACTCCTCTTCAAATAAATTTAATATTTAAATTATCTTGCTTACAATCTTATATTTTATTACGGCAAAGTTCAATTTCCAAATTAATTTGAATCTGCTAGTCTCTCCTGCAAGCTTTCCATGAGCATACGTCATAAAAGAAAAAAGATTACTTTCTAATTTAAATTAGGATATTTCGAGAGCAGAGCTAAATTCCGATATGGAAGAAAATTTAGTTAAGAAGATATTATTGACTTCTCTTCTCTTTTAATTACGAATGATTATATACATACATTTTTTTGAATTGATTTTTGCTTCATATATGCTAAATTAGGACTCTGATTATTAAAGAATTCCGAAGAGTGATCAGACAAGTTATTATCCTTTAACAATTAAATATTCTGTATCTGTAACATGTGGATGGTGGATTTCACCATAGCACTTAGGCCTCACTAGACCCATTGTGCATCCTCTTAAGGTAACAGGCACCTCCTAGCTCGTGAGCCAGCCTACAGATTTAATGTAGCTGACAACGTCGCCAACAAATTTTTCTCTCATATCGGCCCTTGTTAAGCGATACTCGCCGAACACAAATCTTCTAATAAATGAAAGCGTCGAGCAATAGTAAAGGATATGCTCGATGGTCTCATCTTCTTGTGGAGGGTGCGATCTGCAGAGTGCTAATTCTGACAGCCCTATGATATGGAGATGCTTTCGTACTAAGCAATGAGTAGTCAGAATGCTTGTGACTAGGCGCAGATTCTGTCTAGTTCATAGTCAAGTATGTGATTGTTGTAATGTTGTCAGGATAACTTAAAATCCACCTGCCAACTCTGCAGTTTCTTGTGGCATCTAATCTTTTCTTGAATTTCTCAAGGGAATTTTCTTTAATTGGGTCTGTCACTGCCGATTTTGTCAGGCCAATAGACGGGCCAGGTCCAAAAAATTATTGATTGGCTGCCTTTTTGGCCAGTGAATCAGTGAAGACGCTCACCTTTCGATGTGGCTTGACCTTTGATCCATCTTAAGGTGACGACATTGTTGATGGTTACTTCAACCAAAGCTTCGTGACATTCTAGTGCCAACCCCGAGTAAATTAGTGGTCCGTTTAGGGTGAGTAGTGCTTGTCTGATATCTATATAGATGAGCATGTTCCTTCCAGTGAAATTGTTTCTGGTGATTTCTTTTGCTGCTATGAGAATCCTCGTCAGCTGTTTAAACTACACTAGTACTATTGTTCACAACTAATTTTATGTTTAGGTTTAAGAATCTGGAGTATATTCTACATCCTGAGCCTTGTTTTGTTTTAGAACCGTCGGTGTAGATATGAATCGTACCTGCCACTTCCAGCTATTCTATTTGTTCTGTTATAACGTTGTATGGCTTATGGAAGATATATCTCGGTGAGATGGAGTCCATGTTCACTTGAAGCAGTGGGAGCGTATCAGGCACCTCCTGCTAAAAGCGACGTCTCGCCTCACCAGATCCTACATTAGATTCTAGTCCAACCGTGCGGAGGTGCGTCATTGTTATCAGAACAACCTCCTTGATTGATGTAAATATCAAGGGGAGTGAGACTAAAAATTACTTCCATGGATGGCTCTGGTAGGTGTTGTTTTTATGGCTCTTGTTATGTTGAGACATGCTGTTCTTTAAATATGTTCTAGTTTACGATAACTGTAAATTTTTGGGTTGTTGGTACCCTGACAACTGCACCGTATGGTAGTATAGGCCTTATGATGGCCATGTAAGTCCATGCGATGACTCTGGGGAAGAAAGCTCAGGTGCGTCCCATGGTTTGGCGGCATTGTTCAGAAGCAATGTATGCTCTTTTGACTCTGTTCCATGCTAACTTGCTGTCAAAGGTGAGGCCTAGGTACTTCATTTATTATTATATTTAGGAGTTCTAGATATTTTAATTCCATTTTTAACCTATACTTATAAAAAGGACCATTTCTGTCTTCTTGGAATTGATTGACAGTGAATGGTCCTTGCAACACTATTCAATAATTTTGAGAGCTACTTGCATTCTTTCGCAGAATATGTTCTCAAAATTCCGTGTTTGCAGAATGACCAGGTCATCTGCATACGCTATTGTGTAATGACTGTGTATATGGAGGTACTGGAAAAGCAAGATATGGTGTTACAAACGAGCAACAACAAGATCGGCTCATGGTTCGTAAAGACTACTCGCTGGTCCATAGCACTTCCGCCAACATCAACGACGCTCGAGGTTTGGCATCTGTGTGCAATTCTATAATTTTGAGAGCTACTTGAATTATTTCGCAGAGTACATTCTCAAAATTTCCTGCTTGCAAAATGACCAGGTAGTCTGCGTACGCTATTGAGTAGTTACTGTCATTATTGAGGCGGCTGATGGGGGTGTCGAGGACCATGATCAACAGTAGAGGTGATAGTATCCCTCCGTGTGGACATCCCCTCGCAACCAAGCTCCTCATATTCTCATCTTCTACATTTATGTTTACTGCTCGCTTTGAGAAAATCTAAGGTATCCACCCACTAATAATCTATGGAACATTCCTGTTATTTAGTGTACTATCTTGTGGAAGGTGATTTTATCAATAGCACCTCCTATGTCTATGAAAACACCCAAGGCGGACTCCTTATTGTCCAGGGATCTCTCTCTATGCAGCCATCAACTGGGGTGTATGTATGTTCCCTTATGTACTTTTCGAATAGCCTTTCCAATGTTTTCATGGAAAACGATGTCAGACTAATTAGTCGGTATGTTTTGGGAAAATATAATTCAACCTTCCAGGTTTGGATATAAATACCGATTTTACCTCTCTCCATTTTTCGAGGACTTACCTACCAGGTGCAGTGTGAGTTCTTTCAAATGCACGAGTGGATGGATACGGCTGGATAGATAGGGTCTGGCAATTTAATTTGAAAGAAGCTCGATATTGCGAATCTAATTTTGTCAACATCTACAGTGTGTTTGGCAGTTTGCCTGTCATCGAAAGATAGCTTGTATTCTTCATCTGCCCAGTCGACCACGTATATGATAACTAAGTCAGGGAAGTGTATTGACAGCAGAAGTTTGAAACTATCTTTGAGGTTAGCAGTTTTCATACCATTCTCTTTGATTAGCGCACCAATGCTGCGGTGTAAATGTTTTGAGAGCTTGCGATTTCTTCGCTGTAGGATCTCAATGCATCTCTCTGTTTTTGTCTAACGATTTTTTGGCATTCTCTGAAGGGAGATTTGTAAGTATTAAAATGACCAGAAAAAACTTAAACGCAAGAACTTATGTTTAACCTAAACCTATTTTTAAATAAAATAAATTTTATCCCACACAGAAACTGTGACATATGGCCAATACAGAAATAAAGTTGAGTTATAGAATTCTGGCCTGAATAAAAAAAAATTATATTTACCCATGTATTATTTTTTCGGAATCGCAGTTAACAGTACAATACGATTTTCCTTAACATAAATATTTTCCGATTCCATTCCGGTCATTCAAACCAATACGTTTTTCGGTCTAGTGACGGTTTTCATACATTCGATGGGCTTGTGTGGAAAAACCGGTTAAAATTTCGATTTTTCCTTACATGATTACGCCCTTATTTTAAACCTTCTATTAGTAATTTAGTGAACACGGCTTGCATAAAACTTCGGGCTCAGAAAACGAATATTTAAATATTTCAGACATTAACAGTAATACAAAATGCGTTTTTCATTCATTGTTAAATCTATTTTGCACTATTTTGAGTCAATATGGATAATATTTGGAATTTTTTCATTGTAAATACGTAAGCTTATAAAATTGTAATTTTAAAGTTTAATTGTAACAGGAAAAGAACGAAACGAACCAAGAATGTAATTGTCTTGTGATCATGATCTTATATAACTACTGCAGTTCACAAGTTATAGACTGTTTTCCAGTTTGTACAAAACTTTACCAAATAATGTTACAGCTCCTCTGGGCTTCAAAAAATATATTTGGAAAGTTCATTTTTTTGTAACTGAAAATATGTTTTCTCGTTTTCAATAATCTTATTATCTTTATAAAAACAATTTTTAGCAAATCAAATAAACATTTTTAGATTTTAACTCAGGAAGACTGGAACATAGTATTGTCGAATGGTATGGCGAAAACTTCAAACTGGGCTGCTTTATATTTTGTAGCCTTAATGACTTTTGGTAACTACGTACTTTTTAATCTGTTAGTAGCCATTCTAGTAGAAGGATTCAGTTCCGAAAGACACGAACGAAGAGAAAGAGAGCAAAGGGAACTGGCAAGAAGGAAAATGTCTTGCATTATTGAAGCAAGTATACGAAATTGTGAAAATAGTAGTTCCCTTTCTAGTTCTTCGGAAAATTGTTATCAAGTAAGTATATTGTTCATTTGCTAAGAACCACAAGTTAAAATATTATTTATATTATGATTTCCCTATTTAGTAAAAATTTGTTAAAATTATAGAAGCCAATTAAGTTTTCTTAAAAAACATTCATTTTACCATATGTTTCTATCACAAAAAGGTCTAAAATGCTGAAGATTAAGTTTCTTTTTCTAATGAAACGTAGATATATTTGAGATTTAAAATGGTCATGAAAATACGGGTAAACGCTACCTAGTTGTACATGCTGAAACTAACAAGAATACGGGATAACTATTTTTCACAAACTATTTAGGTTACTATGATTATACGGAAAACGAAGCTTTTACAATATGGCTTTGTAAAAAGTTTATATCAATGCTGGAATCATCACAAATCGTCACAGTTGTTTAACAGAAAAACGTCCTTAAGTTTCTTGGACTAGATCAAAATTACAAGAATGGTTACAAATTAGAAGAATTAGTTTTGACAAAGATGTTTTTAAAATAGAGCTGTTCCATCTTTGTCGCATAAATAAGTGCACAAACTTAGTTCAGCAGTTTAGGTCGCTGCGCTGCTTCCCTTGAACATTGCCGTGCTTCAACACCCATCTCTTTGAAACATAACTGCTCTACTAACGCCTAGTCTTTCAATTTTAATATGCCGTCTTTGAAGACAACCAATCATAGAGCTAGACCGCAGCAGCTGTCTGAATAAAAACAAATTGTTTTGTTTCTCAATTTACAACAAGATGCCTGGCGATGTGCTTAATTAGGTGTGCATTACTTCTGACTGCAAAAAGTGGCATGTCGTGTTTCTTGCTTGCTATTTGTAGTTAAGTACCTACATGGAAGAGGGTGAACAATGTAGTGATTATAACATGCCTTGGAGAAAAAAATATAAAAGTATGACAATACTTTCTTTTTTGGAAAGACATCAAATTTTGACATAAACTTATATGACTAAACAAATAGTAAATAGATGACTTTAAGACACTTTAGGACACTTCTTCTTAATCGAAAAATGTCTCAAAATATTAGTCCCATCTCTTCTGAAAACCCATAATGCTTTACTTTTGACAACTACTTTGTAAGAATATCTGCTACTATATCCTCTATTGATAAACATAATGTAGTTACTTTTAACAATTTCTCATATATAATGGTATTTCACATCTATGGGTTTTGTTCGATTATCGTAAACAGGATTGCTAGAAAATTTCAAAGCACTTTGATTGTCTGTGTATAGAATTTTCTTTGCTTCAATTTCTTGAAATTCTTGAATTAGTCTTCGTAGGTAGACATCTTACTTACAAGCTTCGGAAAGAGCCATGTATTCGGCTTCTGTTGAGGAAAGAACAGCACCAACTTGTTTTTTACTTTCTTAAGATATGGCTCCTTTCACAGTTGTGAATACAATGCCTATATAAAACTTAAGATGAATTTCTTGATTACCTCTTGATTACCCCCTTGATTACCTCTTAATTAACCCTTGATTACCTCTTGCTTACCTCAGTCTGCATCTACAAAACCAATTATTTCTTCTTCACTCGGTTCATGGATTAAACAGCAACTACCTGTTCTTCTAAAATAACGTAGCATATTTCCAGTCTTCTTCGGCAAAATAGGAATTAAATTTACTAAGAACACCACATGTAAGTGTTATATCTATTCTGATAGGGAACATTGGGCCTTGATAAACCCTCTTCTGGTTTCTTTGCCAATAATTTCAAATTTAGCTCACCTGGTAAACTGGCACACAGTCGTCATGAGAATTTTATTAATATACTGTTCTTGGTCAATTTTTTCCATTTTCTCTTCTTATTTTCATACCTAGTATTTGTCGAGCATCCCCAAGATCCTTAATTTTAACTCCAGCTCTTCTTTTAAACGGTCTTTCTCTACAGAATCATCCGTAATAATAAAAAAATGGTCAACAGAAAGCGCCAAGACTATAAATTTTAATTTTAATTTTAAAATCTCAAAGAATAAGCAAACTTCCTACTCTATCCTAAACTCAAAAGCACTTTAATATTCCAAGTTCTAGCAACTTGCTTAAGACCATATATAGCCTTTTTTAGTAAACATATTTTCGTCGTATTAGCAGAATATCCCTCTGGCTGCTGCATATATACTTCTTCTTCCAACTCTCTATTCAAGAAAGGTGTACATACATCAAAATGATACATCTGCAGTTCATATTTTGCTAGAATTGCAAAACAAGGTAAATAAGGGTGACTGGTGAAAAAGTTTCAAAATATCTACACCATGTATTTGAGTAAATCCTCTTGCACCTAACCTGGCTTTATATTTTATTGAGCCGTCAGCTAGAGATTTTAATTTAAATACCCATTTACAGCTTACAATTGTTTTATTATCAGGTAAATCAACTAGTACCCAAGTTTTGTTTTCTAAAACACCTTGATATTCTTCTTTCATAGCTTATTTCCAATTTTTACAATTTGGTCCCATTATAACTTTCTTATAAACTTTATTTACGTTTAAAACGACTTTCTCATGAACAATTTCAATGTCTTCATCTTCTTGATCAGTTTCATTCTTTATCTTCTTTAGCCAGTATCTGGATTAGTACTTCCAAAACTTTCTTTATATAAATTTGAAAAATTGTAACTTTCAAGACTACTTGAAGTTTTCTCGTCCCGGTTAGGAAATTTATTCTCCAAAAAACATTACATCTCGAGTATTTGTTTTTTGGTTCTCTAGGATCAAGAAAGTCTATAGCGTTAACATTCTTCATTATATTCAACAAAATACATTCTTTTACTTTTACTGTCTAATTTTTTTTTTTTTTTTCGTTTGGGATCAGGAATAAGCATACATATATGCAGTACAAACGAAGATTCTTAAATGACACAAATTAACCTTTATTCCCATTCATTTTTCTTCAGGTGTCACTTCAACAACTGCTTTATGTGGAATCTATTTTTCAGATAGACAGCTGTATTAGCAGCTTCCGCTGACATTTTCTTACTGCATCTTCTTACTGTATCATATACCTATCTTTTTCCAAAATTGTTCTGTTGACGCGTTCTACAAGTCCATTTTATTCGGGATTGTATGGCACCGTCAACTGGTGTAAAATTCCAGGACTATTTAAAAATTCCTTAAAATTATGGTTACCAACTCAACTCCATTATCTGTTCATAGCTTTTTTATTTTAAGGTTAGTCTGGTTTTCAACCATTGTATTAAAATTTTAAACGTAACAAAAACATTCTTATTTTTTAAAAAATAGATAAATTTTACTTGAAAAATCATCTATGGTATTAAAAATATAAAGGTGAAACAGGCATCAGGCCACAAAGGTCACAGTGTAGAAGGTCGTTTCACAGTAGCTTTTTTCTTTCAAAATGATTTAAAAGGTATTTTATCAAATGTTCCTTTTAAACATATTCTCGTATTTATTTGAAAAGAAATTCCCGTAGCCATACCATTTTTCAGCAAATTCATGCTAACCTTGTTCAAATGTCCTAAACGAATATGCCACAGTTTATGTAAACCAGCAGTTCTCACAGAATAGGAATTTGAATGACTGTCTGAAAAATTTCCTTCTTCTGCACCATCTAGGCGGTACAGGCCACCTTCGTTAGAAGCTGTAGCATTATTAGTGCCATTTTTGTCCAGAAATTTATAATCAGTCGTATCAAATACTACGTCATACTCTTTAGACACTAACTTGCTCACTCACAAGTTCAGTAACAAATAACGCGTCAGAGAATATCGTGCTTCGTCTTCGTTCTTTAGTTTTACGGAAACGTTACCCACATCTACACTGAATAGTTTAGAATCATTTTAAATTGAACATGGCATCAGTTTTAAAATCATAGAACCAGTCTCAGCGAGAAGTCATGTGGTTTGTCGCACCAGTATTAACATACCAGTGGCTATTACTGGTACGAACACCAAATGCAGTAAGCAGCTATCTATTTGGACAGTTTGGTTTAATATGTCCAACCTCACCACAACTCCAATATTTTACGGTTCCCTGATTTTTCTTCTTGGGTTTAAAACTCCTAACAAGTGCATTTTTAGAATTACTTTTTACTTTGTTTATTCATTCAATGGGTATCGTGTAACAATGTTGTCTTGGCGAAATTGCTTGATATTTGTGCATCTGAGCTTTTTATTGCCACAATCAGGGAATCATATTCGTCAGGAAGACAAGCAAGCATTGCTGCATCAAGGAATTCATCTTGGACGGCTACTTAGATACATTTGCAAGAACATAAACTTATTTACATATCCCTTCATATACGTAAAATTTTCCAATCATATGGAACACATCGCCCTTAATATCCGCACTCTTCTGTTCAAACCCTTTTCTTTAAATGCTTTCTCCAGGCCATTCCACATTTCTTTAGCCGTCTTGCAACTACGTGTATGAGAGTAACAACAAGGCAATACTATAAGTCCTATTTGGGTTAAAGTCTTTTGGTCAATTTTACCTTTTGTAGCTTCATCAGACTTATTATCAATAGCATAACCAACAACAGCACTCCAAACATTTAAATCTCCTAGAAACAGTTCCATTGCAAATTTCCAGTTGTGGGTAATTTTCTCTTTCTACCAATTTAGAGATAGGAGGAAGAGAAGCATTGCCATCTGCAGACATTTTTGAAATTAACAAATTCTTTCTGTTTTACATTATAACTAGACATGATCTGGGCCTATAATCTGTAGTGATTAGAAAATGCCTTGGAGAAGAAAATGTAAAAACTGGAATAACAATACTTTATTTTTTGAAAAGACATCAAAATATGACATAACAACAGGTTTGTACCAACAACAATCTTGGAACCATACATAAACCAATTCACAACTTCTTGTCGACGACTGATAGTCGACGACTAATCCACGACCTGTCGAGGATTGGGACTGAATTTGGAACTTGGTTGTGTTGGAACACATGTTTCTATTGTCAGACATACTCTGTCAGTAATTTAAAAGTAAAAAAATGTTAAATTTTGAATTTGGCAAATACAAAAATTATAAA